TCCGGCAAGAGGTCTCAGCCGTCTTTGTCTCTTCTGCTCTTGCAGACCAAAGTCTTAAAATAACAGAGTTCCCTCGCCTTGTCTGCTCTGTGCTCGGACTTCCCCACAGCTACGGGGCCAGGGGGACAGGGTGTCTTAAAACCACCCTGCACTGACTCAGGTCACATCTGCATCTGCTTTAAGGGCAAAGGGCACTGAACACGGGTGGGGTGCTATTTTGTTATTTTGTTGTTGTTGTTGCTGTTGTTGTTGTTCTAGCTTTAGTGGGGTGTAATCAACAAAGCCTATATGTGTGTAAAGTGCAGAGCTTCATATTTTGATACCTTGTTAAATAATCCACCACTATGCAGCCAATGAACTTATCCATCACCTTACATAGTTACCTTGTGTGTGTGCGTGTGTGTGCGCGCACGAAGCGAGAACACTTAAAATCGACATTCTTAGCCTATGTCAAGCGTGCACTAGAGTATCCTTAACTGTGGTGACACTGCCGGGTATTAAATCTGCAGAACTTAACGCATCCTGTAACTGAAACTTTGTAGCCTTTGACTAAGCTCTCCCCAGTGCTCCTTCCTCTCAGCCCCGGCAACCACCTTCCCACCCTCTGCTGCAATGAATGAGTTGGACTGTGTTAAATTCCATATATGAGTGAGCTCGTGCAGTGTCTGCCTGCCTGTGTCCGGCTTCTTTCACTTCGCACAGTGCCCTCCGGGCCTCATCCAGAAGTTCGTCCACGGGCAGGATCTTCTTTGTTAAGGCTGAATAATATTCCATGGTGCAGATATACCACACGCCCTTTACCTAGTTATCCACTGACAGACATAGAAGTTGCTTCCGTGTCTCTTGCGAATAAAAACCACAGTGAACGCGGGAGTGCAGGCGTCTCTTCAAGTACCGGCTTCGTTCCCTTTTTACATATACCCAGCCTACACAGGATGTTTTAAATTTTTTTGTAATTTTTTTAACTGTTTATTTATCTTGAAGGAGAGAGAGAGAGCGTGAGCAGGGGAGGGGCAGAGAGAGAGGGAGACAGAGACTCTGAAGCAGGCTCCAGGCTCTGAACTGTCAGCAGAGAGCCCGACGAGGAGCTCGAACCCACGAGCAGTGAGATCATGACCTGAGCTGAAGTCGGACGCTCAGCCAACTGAGCCACCCAGGCACCCTGGGGATGTTTTAAATTTTAAGTCAACATGTTTTAAAAAGGAGATTATACATTGTGATCAGAATCCGGATTTTTAGGGGCACTTGGGTGGCTCAATCGGCTAAATGTCCGACTTTTTTTTTTTTTTTTTTTTTT